TGCCACTCCTCATGGCCACCTGCAGCGCATCAATTGCCTGGTGCATCCCAGAGGCCGTGTTGCCTCTTTATTTGACCCTAAGGATGGGCGCTTCCCCACTGGGGATGCCTTCCTTTCCCCGGAAAGACTACGGCGGCTGGAGAGGCTGGGTATGGTTAAGGACACAATGACCCTGCCAGAGCTGCTGGAACGGGCAAAGACAGTACAGCTTATCTGGACAGAGGACCATGCCCAGGCCTGCCGGAGGGCTGCCAGCATCCTTGAGCTGCTTCAGGATGCAGTGGAGGAGAGGGTGAACAACGCTATGCAGGCAGTTTTCCAGACTGTGCCCTTCCTCCCTGGTACACTGCCCACTGGTGAACATGTGCTGTTGCCAGCTGCCCAGCTCTACCATCACCTCCATGCCGCACTAGTGGGACTCATCCACCCTATCTTGGCTCATGAAATGCTGGGAGAAAAGTTCAGCCTTCCCAAGGAGGTTGCATCCTTCTTAGGGCTGGACCGGCAACTACCAGCAGCTACAGTACTTAAGCAGCTTCAGGCACTGAGCTGTAGCTCCAATGCTCTCACTTTAGAGGACCTGCAGGACAAAACCCAGTGCTGCTACAGGTACCTGCACATGCTGCTCCAGAGAGATCGCTCCAGCTGGGGTGAGGTGGCTTCTGCAGTGCCCCAAGGGGAGCCCTTTATCTTGGTGGGCTCCCGCTTTGTCCCCATCACGTCTGTGGCTGAGAAGCTGTCATTTGAGGCTGTCCCCTATCTTCACCAGCTCCCAGAGCAGTACCAAGCCTACAGCCAACTCTGGGAGTGTGTGGGGCTGCGCCACGCATTCGACTGGGATGATTATGCCCAAGTGCTCTGCACCCTGGCAGAGATGCATGCTGGAGAGCCACTGCCTGCTGCGGAGCTGGCTCTGGCCTTGCGGCTGGTGTCTTGTGGCTTGATGGCAGATGACAAAGAGCCAGATGCCTACCAGACTCAGCAGCTCTTTCTACCTGACCAGAAGGGCATTTTGCGTCCACGGGACAAGCTCCACTTCAATGATGCACCATGGATGCCAGTGGACAGAGCTGTCCTGCTGTGCCACGAGAAGCTGTCCCGAGCCGCAGCTTTGCGCTGTGGGGTGCCTACCACACGTCACTGGGCACTGGAGAGGAGTCGACTGCCCACTGCAGAGCTGAGCCTCTGGGTGCAGCCATTTGGGGCCCATGAAGACTTGCCTACACGACTTGGGTGAGTACCCAGCAACCGCTCATGATATGGTGAGAGAGTTGCTCCAGAATGCGGATGATGCTGGTGCGGGCCTTGTGCATTTCGTGTGGGACCGCCGGCAGCACCCAGTGGATGCCACTTTCAGCGAGAATTGGAACTCCCTGCAGGGCCCTGCTCTCTGTATCTACAATGACAGCCCCTTCCAGCAGCAGGACATTGAAGGTATTCAGCATCTGGGGGTGGGTGGCAAGCAAGGCCGGCAGGATCTCACAGGCAAATATGGCCTTGGCTTCAACACTGTCTTCCACTTTACTGACTGCCCAGCCTTCCTTACTGGAGACAGTGCCCTGTGTGTCTTTGATCCCCATCTCTACTACGTGCCTGGAGCCACAACCGAGAGCCCTGGTGGGATGTTTGCTGTCAACCCTGAATTCAAGAGGACCTTTCCAGACATTTATGGCACCTTCCTACCCTCTCTCTTCAACCTGAACCAGGGTGTCCTTTTCCGGCTGCCCCTCCGCACTGCAGCTGGGGCTACTATCTCCAAGGTGTCTGGCATGGTTGTGCGGGACCAAGACCTCATGGCCATAGAGACAGTACTGGCTGAAGACGGTGAAGACTTACTGCTCTTTCTCCGGCATCTCCATACTGTGGTCTTCTCTGAGATAACCCCAGACGGGGGCCAGGTGTTGGAGAGGCTGCGGGTGGCCACAGAGCTGACAGATGGTGATGCAGAACTGAGACAGGGCTTTCAAGCGAGACTGTGCCAAGGCATGGATGGGAACGGCCACACCTCTGTATCCTATATCATGACAGTCAAAACCAGCAAGAGCAGGACCAGCACCGTGTGGAGGGTGATCTCCCAAGCTGGGGTTCAGGAGGGTGCTGAGGAGTCTCCAGTGTTTGGGCGGCTGCCCTATGGGTCTGTGGCAGCCTGCCTGAAGCCATTGGGCTTGAACAAAGTCACGGGCAAAGCATTCTGCACCCTCCCACTGCCGCTGAACACAGGGCTGCCTGTGCACATCAATGCCAACTTCTCCGTGGATGCAGCCAGACGCAATCTCTGCTGGGACCCAAACAGCACAGAGGCAGACTGGAACCGTTTCTTGCTCCGGCACTTGGTGGCTCCACTATACTGTGCCTTTCTCACCAGGCAATGGAAAGCCCTGGGGCCTGAAGGGCTCCAGTTCAAGTCCCTGAAGGTCTGTCAGCAGCACCTGGCCTCCCACTACCTGCACTTGTTCCCTGCTGTGTCAGAGGTGCTACCTACCTTTCAGGACATGGTGAGGGATGTCTATAGGCACCTCAGTCACAAACGCCTGCCCCTGGTGCCTGTGTACCACATAAAGCGCCCTGACAGCACGGTGACAATGACCTGGGCATCTCCAGGTGGTGGGGATGTGCTAACAGAGCCATACTTCCTCGAGGAGACACCTGAGCCAGCTCTCCAGGAGGTGCTGCAGCACCTGAACATGAACCTGGTGCCAGCATTCACCCACCTGCGGCAGATCTACAAGGAGTTCATCGGAGCCCAGGTGGAGGTTGTTGCCTTGCAGCCAGCTTCTCTCCAGCGCTTCCTCAGGGCCCTGGCACTCCCCGTGCCCTGCATGCTTGCTGAGACGCCCCTGAGGACCCCAAAGAGCTGCTCCATCCTCCTGAATCACTGCCTGGATCCTATGGATAAGGACGAGAAGAAGATACTGGAACTGGAAGGCCTGCCCTTGCTTGTCACACAAGATGGCTGCTTGAATGCTCTCAGCATCCACCACCCAGTCTTCCACAGCTGCTTTGCCCACCTCTTCCCCAACCACTGCCACCGCTTTATCAACAAGTTAATGTCTAACCTGACCCTGCCTTGCTTTGTAAAGAAGTTTGGTCTCCTGGAGGCCACACCACTTATCCAGGAGGCGCTGGGTCAGCTGAGCTGGACCAGAGAGTGGGAGAAGTGGCTCAAGGAGCTGTGGAATTTCTTCAGCACTTTGGTCAACACAAACACCAAAGAGCAGCTGGAAGTGGACATGAAGTTATTCATGGATCATCTCCAGGATGTGGCAGTGCTGCCTGTTCAGGGGGTTGAGACAGGCTCGAAGCATCTACTGCCACTATCCTCCCTCCCCAATGTTCTTTTTAGGTGTGACACAGATGTGACCAAGGTACTGCACAAATTGGGCATCCCTGTGCTCCAGCAGCCCCTGCTGCCTTTTAACTTTGCCTACCACTGCCTGATGACGAGGACACTGCAGGCCACAGACCCCAAGGCTGTGCTAGCCCGGCTGGCCAATGCCAGAGCTGATTTCCACTGGAAAGACTTAAACGACGAGGATGTGAGTGTTCTGCTGCACTTTGTGCAGGGAAAACTGGATTCGTTGGCACTGAAGCAGCTCCAGCTCCTGCCTCTCTTCCACAACTATGGTGGGGTCTACGTACCTGTGGCACCCTACCGCAAGGTGCTCTTGCTCAGAAGCCAGTTCCCAGAACTGCCTCTGCTTGCCCAAGTCCTATACAGCCTAGAGAAGGGCTTGTTGCTGCTCACAGCAGACAAGATCCCCCAGAAGCTGGCCAAGGATTTGCAGTGGAATCTGACAAATGAGCAGCAGCTTTTCATGACTGTGGTGCTGCCCCAGCTGCCCCAGCTCACAGCGCAAGAGCTTATGGATGCTCTGCGCTTGTTCTTTGCCCTGACACACATCTGTGATATTAAGTACAAGGAAGATGTCACGACAGCTTTTCGAACTGTGGCCTTCATACCTGATGCTCATGGTGTGCTACGCCTGGCCTCCTACTTCTATGACAACACACCCTCTTTCTGCACTCTGGGGCTCCAGCACCGCTTTGTGCCTGAGTCTTTCTTTGTGAAGCTAGGTAACAACCGGATAGCTGCTCAGGACTTCCTGCTTCAGGCAGGTGTCCGCACCAGCCTTTCTGCAGAGGATTTTGTGGCACTGGCCCTGGAGATAGAGCATGAAGCCAGTCAAGCTATGTACCATGCTGGAGACCTGCGGCCACGACAGCAGGAAATGCTCAAAGAGTTTGACATCCTGTTGGGCAATCCCTTGTCAGAGGGTTTCCTAAGGCAAATTGCCTTAATCCACTTCCTGCCTCCACTGGACATTCCCCCAGACTTGATGAACCTCCACCCCCCTTTTGCAGCCTGCACTAAGCCTGTGGCCCTGAAGGGCAGCATTTACCACTGCCAAGAAGATGTGGCTGAGCTCCTGTGGACATCAGCCACCATCCTGCCGAAGTCCTTTTCACTGAACCAAGACCTCCTGAAGGCCATGGGAGTTACTGTGGAGATACCCACTACCCTGGTGGTGGCCAACCTGGAGCAGGTGTGTAGGGCAGTGTGCCAGACGCCGCAGCAGGTCAACACACGGGTCAGCGTGCTCCGGAAGGTGTACAGCTTCTTGCACACCCATCTGAAGGAGGTGGATGCAGGGCGCCTCACTGAGCTGCGTGTGGTGCTGACCAAGTCAGGGGATGTGGCCATGCCATGGCAAGTGGTGACATCACTCCCAGACGAGGATGACTTTTACCCCTATCTTGCCATGCCTGACCCCCACTTGTCTGTCTGTACAGACCTGTTGCAACACCTTGGGGTGGTCTTGTTCCCCACAGTGACTCACTACAGCCGTGTCCTGGCCCAAATCTACCGGGAGAGCCATGACAGTGGGACCCTCAGTACTACCCAGAAGAAGACAGTCCTGCTGGCCACACGGTACTTCTTCCAGCTGTTGCGGGAGGCACTGGAGCCCCCTGATTTCTCCAGTGTGGCTGAGCTGTACTTGCTGAGCACTGCTGACTGCCTAGAGCCATCCCACAGGCTGTACTTCAATGACTGTACATCCTCAAGTACCTCTAGGGCCTTGGGGAAGACCTTCATGTTTATGGCTGAACTGCCAGGGACTGGGTTTAATTCTTGGCGGCTGCTGCAAATGCTACCACAGCGCCTGCGGCCACAGGCCCTCTCAAAGGTGACAAAGCAGCAGCTGGATGAGGGCAGTCTGCAGCCATGTCGCTATGGTTCTCACTGCCCTGGGCAGAGGCATCTGCAAACCCTCCTGGCATCACCATGGTTTAGGATGGGGCTGGAGGCCCTGCTCCGGTGGCAGAGCCACAGGACTATGACGAGAATGGAGTGGGATGGTGGCTTTGCAGTGGAGCAGCTGAAAGTCCAGTGCTGCAAGAGCATCTTCACTGTGCTGGTCCACTGTGGTGAAAAGGTAGAGGGCAGCTCCCAGTCACAAGTCACCCATGCATGCTTGACTGGTGGTGGCCAGCGGCTCCTCTACATCCGGCATGCAGATGCGGTGCTGGACCGGCACCAGCTGAGAGTCCTGGATGCACTAGTGCAGGAGATCAATGTCATGCTGGGTGGACAGATGGAGGCACCCACCTTGTCAGTACTGCGTGAAATGCTGGTCTGCCAGGAGCCACAGGACATAGTCTTTGTTCTGCAGGAGAATGATGTGGCACTGGTGGGTGCTGCACCAGAGTCAGAGGAGGTCATGGCACCAGAGCTGGAGAAGAGGCTGCGCGAGGAGGCTGTGGCAGAGGGAAAGCCATGGAAGGGTTGGCCCAGCCTGATGCCAGAGGTGAATGCTGATGTGGATCACAGTCTGGCAACCTTCCAGCAGCTGTGTGCTGTCAAACAGACAAAGGTGTTGCAGAACCTCCTCTGTCAGTACAACCCTGCGATCACTGCCCAGCACCACTGGGACACCACCGGTCAGGAAGTCCATGGCTCCTGGTTGTGCAATGAGGAGGCCACAGCCCCGACTCAGTCCATCGCAGAGGCCCAGCGGTGGCTGCGGCAGGCCAAGAATGACCTGCAGGCAGCCCACAATGACATCGGGCGCTGCTGCCCCAACTGGGTCCTCTTCAAGGTGCACCAGGCCCTGGAGAAGGCACTGGTGGCTGCTGTACTTTGCCATGGTGAAGCCTTTGAGGGCCCAGTGGGGCTGATGGGGCTGGTACAATGGCTGGAGGTGGTGGAGCCAAAGCTGAGGGGCCTGGCACAGGAGGTGGAGTGGCTACATGGCTGTGGCATGGATGGCAAGGCCACACAGTACCCGAGTTACCATCCCTTCCCCATAACCCCCAATGAAGCCTTCCACGGTGTGGATGAGGAGGAGGTACTGCAGCGGGTGCAGGGAGTGCTGGGGAGGCTGCAGAACCACATGGGTGGAATGTGAGGATGTCCCCACAGAGGGGGCACTGCCAGCTGGGCCAGCAGAACCACTGTGGACACACCAGAGACCCAGCATGGACTTGCCACAGACCTGCCACTGGCAGCCCTGTGCTGAACTAAGATAGGAGGGGTTTGGGGGCAGACAGGGCGCCTGAGCCAGTGAGAGTCATGATGGAGCATGTGCTGTTGAGAACAAGAGAAATAAATTACAATTATAAATGTGGCAGTGCTGGTAGACCCTTCATTAACAGTGTGATCAGGGGACATGGAGAGGTCATGGGTGCCTGGGGGGTGTGTGGAAGTTGAAGGTGGCAATGATGGGTTTAGAGGACCGTGGTGGGTTGACCACAGCGGGTAGCCCAGGTGCCCACTGAGCTGCTCTCTCTCTCCCCCTCTTCAACAGGATAGGGGGAGAAAATATGATGAAAATCTCATGGGGCATGATGAGACAGGGAGATGGCTTCTCTCAAAGCTTCTCACAAGACCCAGCCCTGTGGCCCCTTCAAACTACCCAAACCCCCACCACACTACCCAACACAGCCTTCTTCAAGGCTGCGAAGACTGAGCACATGGCTTCTGTCTCTGCGTCCGTACTTCTCCCTGTGGTGAGCATGGTCAGAGCTGACAGTCCCCCACACCTACATAACTTTTGCCTAAATTTACAGTGAATGTAATGTCTAAATCGGCTGTAGATGTCAGCTGCAGGTGACGATTTCTGAAAGTGATTTTGAAACCAACTCTTACTGGAAAAAAATAAAAATCAAAAGGCATTCTCCATCACTCACCCATCTTTAAAACTCAGTGCGAGCACCTTTTTTCACTACCACTTTTTTTTGTTTGGTTGGTTTTAACAACTGCAAACTACAGATTTAGGTTTTGTTTGCAATGAGTAAACTTTCCTTCCACTCTCCCTTTTCTTCTTTGTTCAATTTATTCTGTGGAGATTCATATATAAAGTTTTAATCAGACAGAAAATATTACCAGGAGCTGAAACTGCTGATTCTGTCCTGAAAGCATAGTTTGTTCAAACCTCAGAATAGCTAAACAGGAAGCAGCTGCACTCAAGACAGGGCGTGATCTTTGTCTTGACTGTTCTTGAGATGTCACAAGACCATTTTAGACTCTGATGTGTAAAACAGATCATGGAATTGCTTAATGGGACAAGGACCCCTGATGGTTGGTGGAAAAGGATCATGGGTCTGCCCTCTACCTGGGTACAGGCCTTCTAGTAAGGTTTCATGGAGCACTGCTTCATGGTCAGTCTTTTAATTGACTGTCCTTTTAATAAGTGGTTTACACTTTCACACCAGCTCTGGAGAAAAGAGTTAGAGAATGCCTTTATTAGAAAAACATAAAAGCAGTCTCCGGACCAAACACGAAGTCAGCAGTGCCAGGAAAAAGAGCATAAAGAACTGGGAGTAAAATGATCATTAATTGCAACAAAGCGTCTCATTTGCACAAGTCGTTCATAGTTTTTGTGTTCCCAGCAAAAGGCAGGAAAGAAAGATAACACGTTGGAGTGCTGGTGCTGTAACTCAGGCAGTCTCTCCCTCCACTGGGAAGGGAGGGAGCTTTTGTAGACTTAAGATGGGTGGTTGAGGGTTAAGGTTTCCTGGCTCCTCATAGTCCAACCCATTTCTCCAGGCCTTCAAGGTCCCTCTGAATTGCAGCCCAGCTCTTTGGGGCTCTTCATTCCCTCTCCCTTCCATGCTGACTGTAACTTCAGAGAGTGATCTGTCCTGTCATCCGTGTCATTAATGAACAGCAATACTGGCTCCGGTGTTGAACCCTGAGGGATGCCGCTAAGGACTAGCCACTTCATTCCACCTTTCCACCACTACTGAGCCCACTGTTTTGGTCAGTTTTCCACTCACTTCACCATTCCCTTATTCAGTCCATAACTCACCAGTTTGGCTACAAGCAGTGACTGGTAATGCCTGGTAAACATCACTGATCTCTCATTATTCACAGAGCCATTAATTTCATTGCAGAAGCCAATCAGGTTGGTCAGGTATGATTTCCCCTTGGCAAATCTATGCTGGCTGTTCCCAGCTCCCTTCCCTCACAGGTGTTTGAAAGTGGGTTCCAGGAGGATTTGATTCATCACCTTCCCAGGGACTGCAATGGCCTTGACTAGCCTGTAGGTCCTCAGACCCTTCTTTGTGCCCATCTTGAAGACCGGTGTAATACCAGTCCTCTGGAGCCACCCACTATTGCCATAAATTTTCAGTGATAGACAGCTCGGGGAGATAATCAGAGGAAAAAGTTTAAAAAAAAGTCACGGCATGAGATTAAAACAGTTTAATAATTGAAAGAAAATGTGGACTTTCTCAGGGTGATGGAGCTCTCAGCCTTGCTTGGACAGTGTCAGAAGCAGAATGAGAAGACGACCATGAAAACACTTAACAAAACCATGCAGATTGCAGTATGTTTTAGCTTTTTCTGGGAGATCGCTCAGTGTTTGCTCTCCAGCCTTAGCACAAAGGAGTGTGGCTTCCTCAAGAGAAGTGGTAAGGATGCTAACTCTACGGGAATGTCAGGGAATTGCCAAAATATTCCTTGTGTTTGGCAGGTGTGTCATACATGCAGCTTTGTGGCTGGAACGCAGCCTGTGGGAAGGGGACCGGGAGCTGTTGATTGGCAGCCAGATGAGTATGAGCAGGCAGGGTGGCCAAGGTGCCCAACAGCATCCTGGCCTGCATCAGGAACAGTGTGGCCAGCAGGATCAGGGCAGGGATTGTCCCCCTGTACTCAGCACTGGTGAGGCCACACCTGAAATCCGGTGCTCAGTTTTGGGCCCCTCATGACAAGACAGACACTGAGGTGCTGGAGTGTGTCCAGAGAAGGGCAACGGAGCTGGGGAGGGTCTGGAGCACAAGTGCTGTGAGGAGGGGCTGAGGGAGCTGGGGGTGTTCAGCCTGGAGAGGAGGAGGCTCAGGGGAGGCCTTGTCACCCTCTACAACTCCCTGAGAGGGTGCAGAGAGGTGGGGGTTGGTCTCTTCTCCCAAGTAAGAATGGACATGACAAGAGGGAATGACCTCAAGTTG